ATTTAAACCTTTTCTTGCAAAATATATATTTATGACCTCATGAAGATCTCCAGAAGAATCATTTAATTTTGGTCAACATAACAGAAGTGAGGATGAGATTCATAGAGATTAGGGACAGTTTGACAGAAGACTTGATTTTATCATTGAATTTAAAGGAAAATGGAATGATGATATTGATTTACGTACAACAGAATTGATATTTCATAGAGGTTCAGAAGAGGAGTTTAGAAACATGATTTAGGATTTGAAATATGATAAAGGAGAATACATAAAAGAGGAATTAATAGAGGTCGTCAAAGAATTGAACAAGGATGAAGATGGAGAGATTATAATTAATAATAATCAAGTGTATTGGAGATGTCATTTTCCAGAGTTTAAGAAAAGATACTTAAAAGATTATCCAAGATGTAAAGAATTATCTGATTACAAACAGGAAGTTTTTTTAGAAAATCAGAACATTGATATTCAAATAGATTATATAGAAGAAACTGAAGAAATTATAGCAAGTACAAGCAAAAGAACTTATGATAAATCTAATGAAAGTGAAAGTAGCAATAAATGTAGAAAATAATTTTATTTGATGTTTATTTATATTTAAATAAAAAAATTTTATCTGATACAATGATAATGTCTATCTTCATTTTTACAATTTTGCAAAACTATATTATTTTTATATTTATGATAAATATTTTTGATTATTTTTTGTCTATTATTATTGTTAAGTTTATAAACATTTGCTACTAGACAAAAGTTGTTTCAGATATATATTATAGAAAGTTTTTAATACAGTTTTTATATTAATTCTTTCTTGAGAAAACAAATAATTGAATATGAAAAATAAAATTTCAAATGGTAATTTATTCATTTTGATAAAGTTTTGGTAAATTAGAGTATTGTCTTTTTATAAAGAATTTTATTATAAAAATATCAAAATTTTATAAAATATTACGTGTTGTTTTATTACACTTAATGCTTCTTCATAAGGATCGATCACAAATATCCTTATAAGGATTTTTAATAGATAGATTATTTTAGTTCACTAAAATTTATATAAATATTCTTGTTGTTTATATAAAAAATATTTACGATATAATTGTTTAAAATGTTTGTACTTAATCAAGTAATTGATGAAAAAGATGAAATTCTTTATAAATTTTTTGAAAAGAACTTAAACCAACTTCGATATTATCAAGATGCTTTCAAAGATATTGAATATAAAAATGAAATTTCAGTAGTGAAAATGATTAAATTACATATAAAAGAAAAATATATTCCTAATTACAGAATGCAACGTTGTAAATATAAATTTATAAAAGAAAATTTAAATGTTCGAAAGTTAACTAAGTGTTTAAAGATTTTTAAAGAAACTGATGATGATAAATTTATGAAATATTTAGTTGATTTTGTTGAATATTTAGATTTCTTCCTATACGAAGATTATTTGAATCATACAAAATATAGTAGTTTTTAATTTTTATTGAATAAACAATTTCTGAACATATTCATTATTTTTTACATTGTATCGAATCGAAAATTTTAAAGCGCACCATTGATAAAATCTATGCTCACAATAATTATCAAAATTCTTTGTTAATTTATTATCAATATTCTTCAATTCTTTGTAAACTTTTAGTTTTTTACAATTTTTAAAAGGACAAACTTCTTTAAAGATACCACAATCTTTTAAAAATTGTAATTTTTTACATTTTTCACAAGTATCTTTTTCAATATCTTTAATATATTCTTTTTCGTGAATGTATAAATAGTTATTTTGAAATTTACAATATATTGCACCGTGCTTATTATATAATTTTTTAACTTTGGTTTCTTTCTTTGATCTTTTAGTTTTCAGAAAGATATATTTATCATCATTTCGAATAATATCATAAATTAAATTATCAGATTTTATATTTTTACTTCGTCGATAAAGAATATATTTGTTTGGATCAAGATTATTTCTTTGTAAAATATGTTTCAGATAAATACTATAAAAAGATTTTGATACTTTTTTTATTTTGAATCTCTCTTGAGGAGATAATAAACTAAAGATTTTAAACAAAATATCAAAAGATAGATTCATCTTTATTTTTAAAAAAAAAATAAAATCTTATGTATTTATAGAAACTTATATTAGTTAATATTATCATCTTCATCTTGCATTAGTATTTCTGATGCAAGTGCTTCATCAAGTAATTTTCTTTGATTAAGATTTCTCTTAAAGATCTGGTTCTCTTTTTTCAAAATTGAAACATCATATTCTAAATTTCTGATTCGTGTTTCATGATCATATATGATATTATTCAATCTTTTAATCTCTTCATGAACTTTACTTGGTTTGAAGTGATTATATATATGATTATTCTCTAAACAATATTGACATATATCTGAATTCAAACTACTGATATATTTGATTCTCTTTTTAACACATGATAAACAACGTGTTTTAGGGCAGTAAATCTTTTTTTCTTTTTTTGTTCGAGGCATTTATAACAATCTTTACAAGATTTTGATAAATTTTTGTTCTGTTTTTGGATCTACAAAAAGTTGGTTTGATTATTTTTTGTTCTTAGAGCTTATACGTTAAATTTATAGGTTTTATAAATAAATTAAAATTAGATATAAAATCTAAGAATAGATTTCATAGATTCTTAATATGAAATCTTGTTAAAATTTGTCTTATTTCAATAATCAAATCAAACAGATTTTTGATCTGTTTAGAATTTTTCTAAGATATTTTGTTAATTAATTATCATATAATCTTTAAAAAGTTAAGAAATTCAAATTTGATCAATTAAGATTTAACATAGAATCGAAAGTAATCTTTAAAATTGTTCAAATATTTACTATAAAGTAAAGATTTCAGACTATATCAAAAATTATTTTTACAAACTTTAAATTATACGTAGAATAATTTTCAATAATGAGATTTTTTATTAACATTAAAAAAATTAATACAAAGTTATCTAAAAATACTTTAAAAAATTGTTAAATTAATTGAAAAAAAAAATCTTCTTGGTCAGTTCCCCAATCAGAAAAATAATATCTCTAATTCAGAAACTGAACAAAAAAACCTTTTTTGTTTTAATTATTTATTTATATAAAATATTAAATACAAAATATTTATATTTATTTCATTTTAACAGAATCA